AGGTACGACCTCTCCCATGCTCCCAGGATGTGGGTGTGAATGACAGAACACTCTGGAATGCACACAAAGTCTTTGCAGACTCCTAAGGATTAACCCTCTACCAACATGACATTGATTATAAAACTCTAAGCATATATGAGTAGATATTTCTAAGCATAAATGACAATCCAATAATGTAAACCTGACAGTTCCGCCCTTTAGAAAAGTTCCCAGTTATGATCTCCGCATGTCTGACAGTGTCAATGCAAACACACAGCATATGTCAATCACCCTAAATTACTGTAAAAGTACACAGTTTGACAAATGTATTAGCAGTCCTCTTATTCCTCTTTGATCTCATCCAATGGTAAACTGCATCCCACAAGTGAACAAACGAATTGTTAATAGTTAAAAGAGAAATTAACATCCCAGCTTGGTGGTGTTCCTCATCTAGGCATGTAAATCACACGTCTCTCTGCAGAGTGTTTTAAGTTCTGCAGGGCGTCATGAATGTCTCTTCCAGTTGTCTCCATCACTGTCCATAGGACCAGAGTCCAAAATGTATGTAGAATAGACATTCAAACATACCAGGTGGTTTTGCTGCTTGTCAACATGGCTGTCAGGTGTCTCCAAAGCTGCAGGCCTCGTCCTGCGAGGAGGATTTTATGACTCCTCTACTGTCCATCCCTCTCTGCAGAAAAACCCCCATGTGGAAAGGGTGCTGGGCAGTTATCTTACTGCTGTTATGATCCCAGCAGTATTCAGAGTGTCATTGTATGCATAGTACAGTGACACAGCATTAGGTGATGTTCATAGGAGATTGCTGCCGTCACCACCATAGCTTCTGGTTCCTGTGCTTTTCACAGAATCATGATGTCATCCTCAAACTCCCTCTGTGCTGTCGATGGAGCATGGCACGCTCCCCTCATCCTTCAGGTGCCCGTCAGTCGTCCACAATCTCCTCTGTTGGCCTCTGGAAATCCCCCTCGGCACAGCTCTCATTCCAACGCAGCTTCATGGTTATTGCTGTGGCTCCGGAATCTGATCTCA